GAAAACAATTAATCATTGCTCAGTGCAGTTGTTGGTACTACTTTTGAGACATTATTGATCTCTTTGCCTCAAACTGCTTTATTTCCTCTCACTTTGATGAATATTAAAGCACATTAAGTGATTTCATGTAGTCAAGAATCAGGACATAGTAGAAAAGAAGATCTTTTTGAGTATATTCATATGGGCAAAATGACTGACTTTTCAAATTTAAATTGTCTTTGCTTTTGAGGGTTAAGATATGATTTGTGCAAAATTTACTTGAGACTTCAAATGAGTAGGAAGACACCTTATGGTTTAATAGTGCAAATAAAAGACAAATTTTTTATTTTGAGATCAGACATCTATACATGTAGCTGGGTGAAGTGCTAAGGAAATATGAAAATGCTTTCAATTTGGCTCAGCTTGGAAAGGAACTTTTTAATCTCTTAGCGTGAGTTAAGTAGTTGTAGGACAGCTTATAACTCCTACTCAGAGCTTCAAGGGACAGCTCACCTGTCATGTCCAGTTGCCTCTATGTTTCCTGTGTGCAGTGCTGGCAGGTAGCAGATCAGAGTTCTACTAATCCTGCACTATCCCAGTTAAAGTATCTGTGGAGCTCCGCTGAGACATAATGGCTCCAATAATCAAATGTCTTCTTTAAAAATACATGCCTCAAAATTCTTTTCTACTGACATCATGTTCTTTTATAACTTCACATCAGATTGCAATATTTGTTATCCCAAAGGTGTGACAGCATTCTTTAAAACAGGTGATAAAAAGCAACAGAGGAGAAACAATAATTTTAATTTTTTTTTTTTTTAATAGTAGATAATTTATTTCTGGTAGGCAATTTCCTGTACTATCATACAGGTTTCAGCATTTTTAGATTTGATGCAGAAGAAGCACAGTTTTGTGTTGCTTTGGACTAGTGGTGCTCCACCTGATGGTTAAAACAATACATCCTCAGGAGGCTGTCTATACGTGGTTTAGAAGGACCTGACACTTTCCAATAGAAGCTCTATGAGAGTAATAAAACCAACTAAAGTTATGTGTTACTAGCATTATTGTGATTTTTGTTAGTGTTGTTCCTCTATAGGAAAAGTTGGGGTGTCTTTTTTTGGTTACATCATACCACAGGGTGTAGGAGTTGCTCAGGTTGTTTTTCTCGGTCTTCCCATATTTTCGTTATATGTGTCTAAGTAACTTAATCTGTCTCTGTCTCTTCATTTGGTTTCTAATGTGCCAACTTGAGGTGATAGAAATTCATGATGTCATCAAGTTCTTATGAGGTAGACTCCATTACTGTGTTGAGATTTTATGATATGGTGATAAGTGCTATAGAAATGCCTTGATTTTTTATGTCTCTGATGCACATGAAGCATTTCTCTATCCAGCATCACACAATTTAGTGACAATGTTCTTCTATCCCTTCTACTGTAATAAGTATGATAAAACTGTCTGGAAGTAGACATCATCTCTCTGATGGCACATTTGTAGTGGATCTCCTACTCCATACCAGTGGTTAAAGGATAACTGCAAAGAGTTGAAATGTGGGCAGGCGTTGCTCTGTGAGCACTGTTTCTCTCCCTTGTCTTCAGACATGCCCCTTCTTGAGGCTCTCCTTTGAACAGCAATGCAGCTTAATTTTTTTATGCAGTCAATAGAGATTCCAGTGTTTGTTGGCAATTATTCTCTGTTTTCACGTTGTAATTATCAAGATGATAAACAGTTTTAAAACCTCCAGTAAATGAAGCAAAATATTTATGTTTGCAAGAAAACCTCTTTTTTTCTGTCTGTTTCCTCATACAGTGAGATTTTTTAGTCTCTCTGTCTAGGACTTGTATATTCATAGGCTTGTAAATATGAGCACCATTTGGGGGGTCTTTTGATATTCTTTTGCCTATACATATGTAAATAATTTACTATCGTGTAAGTAGTTGCACATGCTAATAGGTACCAATGTTATGTATTTATAATCAAATTCAGAAATCAAAATGAGAATAATTTGATTTTAAATATGAAAGAATTATTTTCAGCGTGTTCACAGGAAACTTAATCCATATCCATATGTATGTGTTTGCAGGAAATACATTATGCTTTTCGCAACCTAGTGGTTGTTAATTCATAGGAATTGCTGCATTTCTGCATTACAGAGGTATGTTTTCTAACAGAAGCAGAACTATCTTATACTTGCAACTTCAAAATGTAGGTCATTGTGTTGGCGAATGTAGGTCAGAGTGAAGGGGAAGAAGACAGAATGCTAACTCCTTTACATGGATCTTTAAGCTGATCCTTGTTTTGAAGGTAAAGAGGCTTATCTACCTGTTCAAGCACGAGAAGCTTTTCCTTTTACTAAAATTAACACAGGTATTCTGGCTTCTGGCTTCTTGGCTTAGCTGGGTGCTTCCACACTTGAGACATGTTCATGAAAGACCTCCTGACTCCTGCTTCTTTAGCTGCCAGCTGCTTATATCATTGCAGAGGTGATACTTCCTTCCCTATAGGGAAGGCAGCAGGGAGGAGACGTGTGCATTGCTGGCATCTGCTTAAAGAAAAGCATTGTCTTTCCAAAGGTGCTTTACCCATCTCTCAGCACAGAGCTATCTGATACACCTGCAGTTTCAGCCGGTATCAACATTGTAATGGTAGCAAGGGAAAGAACAGTGACCCCTCATAAAAGATTCAGTGACACCACTCAAAGTGCCCTTTCAATAATAAGTGTAGAAAAGTGAGAGATGTTTGACTGAGGGTATTGAAAAGTCAGATGTTGAAGGATTTTGCTACAGTTGACAAGTATTTTTAAAATTCACTCAGGCTGCTATAAAAGGGTTTCAGATGTTTATGTTTGTGGGTGTGGGGTTTTTTTAATGTGAGATATAAGTATTGCAAATGGTATTAAATTAGCTGTGTCTTCACTAAATATTAAAAAAGCACTTTTATTGCTTGAGTATACAGCAGTCACTGCAAACCGAAACATTCTTTATATTATACACTAAAGTATTTAAACAGTTATTATATTTATTGCAAAATCTGTCATTTTAGCATATTTCAATGCTCAAAAGCATTGAAATGCTCAAAGGGAGATAGAAAACCCTGTACAATTCTTAGTGTATGTTTCACTAAAGAATGAGTAGTCTTGTGGGAATATTTTGTTTTCACCCTTAGGAAACCTAAGCAAAATAGCACATTCACAAACACCTGATCAGCCTAAACTGACATAAACAGGATAAATACCAATATTGCATTTGTGGTTTTTTCGTATATATGTGCTGTCACTCTATTTTGTTGTTCTTTAAGATCTTTGTAATACAAAACTTATAAGCAAAGTTTTGGACAAATTTTATCTAGGCTTTTGCTTGATCTGCATGCAGGAAAGATATTAATAAATTTTCATTATTAATCACTATGAGTTCAGAATACTTACTAGATGGAAAGGAAGAATTATATTGATGATGTTTACAATCAGGCTCTAAGTGATTTAAAGGAAGACAGTTTTTCTCACAAACTCTGCTTGTGTTAAAAATGTCGTGATGTTTTTAAAGTCTTCAGTAAAAAAAAATTGTTAAAAATTATCTAAAGGATGCACATACATAGTAAGCTGCATGAAATTCAGTTGTCTAGAAATACCTCAAGGATGCTCTACATGTCTGTTTTAAGTTTACTGTAACTGTTGAAATGTCTGTGGTTCATAATATTAAGTTTCTGTCTCATTAATTCGTAGTGCCGTGTGTTGGGGGGGGGGAAGCTGACCCTGGATTTTACCTGTAGACAGACGTGTAAACGTGTTTTTTTCATTGCTGAGCAATAACAGATGTAAAACACATACAACCATAATTTGGCTGCATAGGCCTTTGATTTATCCTCCTTTAACTTTGGGAACCTTTGCAGACCTAACTCAAGTGCCCGAGTACGAGTCTGTTTTCCCAGACTGTCTCCAGCAGTGGAGTCTGGTGAGTGCAGGAGAGCGTGCAAGGCACACAGGATCTGTGCTGCCCTCTCTGTGGGCCACGGCGCTTCAGTTAGATGTTCATGTCAGGTGGAAAACTGGTCTGATGAAACAACGAGTTTCCTGAGTGACTGGTTTTGAAGAGGTAAATTTGCATGGGTGCCTAAATGCTAATGATGATGACCAGTGTAAGTGTTATGATGGAAGCTTATAAAGTCATGAATAATTCAGATTAGGTGAAACAAGTGAGATTGCTCCTTCTCTTCCTGTAGGAGAACTAGGGGGATTTAAATGAAAATGACAGGGACGCAAGTACAAAACAAGAGAGAGGAGGTGTTTCTTTATACAGCACGGTAAAACTTTGGAGCTTCCTGTTGCAGCTATGAAAAGTTTACTACGGTTCACAGAACAACTAGAAAAATTCTTCAGTGCCTATTAAACAGAATTTACCCCTCGTATTTCCTCTTCTCCTCAAGAACTTCTTGAGCTACAACTAGAAATCACACTGTTTTATTGCCCTAGTCCTGCATTTGTCCTTAGCATGTGCTGCTGGTCAGTGTTCCTTAAGTCAGATTGTTGCTTGACTTAACAAAACTAAGAGAAAAGGAGCTAAATAAAAATGAACTGTGAAGAAATGGAGTGACTGTAGTATGATTATATCTATAGCTAACAAAAAAGGAGAGGGCTCCTGTCCCCTGCTGGAAACAGGCTACAAGGCAGGATTGGCCTTGTATCTGGCCTGGTACAAACAGGTTGATGTTCATGTGAATGCCCAAATGAGTTGAATTTTATATAAAGTCTTGAGTATTGCACATTTATGTGTAGATGTATGTGTGTTTATGTGTATGTGCATGTATCTATAAATTTCTGATAATTAGTTGGGATGAAATCTATGAAATATTCAAATCTAATGCTTAAATCATAGGTATTCTCTTTTTTTCTTTATTCCCTACTATTCTGGCAGATTTAGAAAATGAAACAGTGGATAGAAGTCTGCAAATGGTAATATGCATTCAGATATTATTCTAGACAAAAAAATTTCTGTTCTAAGAAAGCGAATATCTTTGTTTTATAGGTCTCTGGCCATCTGAAGAAGTGCTGGCTTACTACTGCCTAAAGCATAATGAAATATTCAGGTACAGAGTTAAACATAAAAAGATATTTTCCAATCTGTTAGTTTTATTGTATCTGCATGGTGAAGATTGCTATGATTTAAGTCTTCAGATTAAATTTAAAATGTTCAAGGTGAAAGCATGTTGCTCTTAACAAAGAATTCTGAGCTGCCTTTGGGTACTAATATTGCACAGCAAGCTTTCTGCTATATGTCAAAGACTTTTGATTTCCACTCAAGGCGTTTTATTTCACTTTGATTTTTGGGAAACAAAAGTGAAGCTCCAATCGATCAGTACTGATTGTGAAGGTCAGGAAAAATAAGATATTCTTTAAACTGACATCTGTTGCAAAAGCAAGCAAAATATTACCTGAGAAAATACATAATAAGCATTGCACGTAGTAGTGGAGGAATTAGCACCACATATAGTAATGGAGTGTTATGAAATAGTTTTGAAACATCCAGCACTTCTATTTGGGTTTGGGGTTTTTTTTCACATTTTCTAAACTTTTAGAAGACAACCATCAGGGCTCCAATAGGAACATCTAAAAATAAAATCCATCCTGTGTCCTCTTTCTTTCCCCTTGGGTATACTGAGGCTTGCACTTGGAAATCCTTGAAGTTCATTTTCCAGACAATGAATGGGGTGCAGTGAAAGCCATTTGGAGGCATAAATTGTGTTCTGAGTGAGGGTGTAAGGCTAATACCAAGTAAAACAGCTTGGAGTGTACAAAGTCCCTCAGTTTGTGTACATATGGTATTGATAAAATAAGGAAGACCAAGCTGTAAGTCCCTGCCCCTTGTACCAAATCAGCAAGCATATCAACTTGCTCAGACTCCTATCTGAAATCAAAGACCTGGCACCAAAGTGTGCCCTGGTTCGTAGAGTCTCGTTCCTGGTCTGCCTATCAGCTGAATGAAACCCGACCTATTAGAGGAGGCAGCTAATACATCTAACCTGGCAGCTGCTGCTCCTTCCTCTCAGTTCAGCTGGGCATTGCACTGTGTGACTTCTGCTGCCACAGTGGTGTCTCTGTAGCACTTTGCTGTCCAACCCCACGCAGTGGCTCCTGTGTTCTGTTTGTTCTCCGAGGCTCCTCACAGCAAACCTTCCTGTGCTGCTTATGCAAAGGGTGTTTTCCTAGCTTGGATATGCAAGCCAGGACACTCGGAGACAGTAATCAGTCAAACTGCCAAGGAGAAAATGGGAAGTTTCACATCCTGATTTCTCAGGATTATGCCCTCTTGCCAGTACTCTCAGAGTAGAGTTTCTTATTTTAATTCTCACTAATAAATGTCACTAAATATTGTCTGAGAGACAGATACAACTTTTCAAATTTACTAATAAGGGAACTTTGCACTAAAATAAATTATTTGTATGCATAAATATTTATGTGTATTTGTGTGCATGTATATACTTATATATTATGTACATAGAAATTTGGTTCAAAATGCACTAGAAACCTCACATTAGATACTTTCTATGTTCATTTCAGTAAGCATGACTCTTATAAAGGATTAAGTGCCTCATAAGTCTAATATATGAAACTATATGTATATACTTTTAATATATAACATACTTGGTTTATGAAAATAAAAACTTGTGTGAGAAAAACTTATAATCATTCTATTTAAACCACAAACTGCAAATTTCCCACATCTGTTTTTACATTCTCACTGGGTTTAGGTACAGCTTGTTCCTCCAACCTATGTCCGTCTTTTGTCTCATTTTGATTAAACAGGACAATGAGACTTTTTTCAAATAAAATTTGGGGTCTGAGAAAAATGGATCTATGCCATCCAGACAGTGAGCATTAGTACACAGTCATACAGCCTACTCTGCTCACCTCAGTGAACAAAATATCAGCATCTGTATACTGATGTGGCATCCTAGATGCTCTTCCTAAATATCAGTGTCAAGTGAGTAGTGAGGTGATACTTCCAGATAAAAATAGATTTTTGGATGTCAGTATTTTGAGGGAGAAGAAGAAGTGCACTAAAAAAATCCCAACCAAACCATTTAGCTGAAATTCCATTTTATGCCTGTCAGAAATGTCTTAATGCGAATGTTTCTGCCAGCTATAAATTGCCACAGATTTTGCTATAAAGCAGTGTGTTCCTAAACTGAGGCTCTGCCTTGCCCCAGACACTGGTTCACACAGTTTTGGTGTGGGGTCAGCATCGCTCCCTCCTCCCCTCTTGGGGCAGCCCATGGCTCTGGAGGACATTCTTTATGGCTCCCCCTGCAAGCTCCCATCCGGCACACTCTCTGCGCCAAATTATATTTCACATGCACGTCTTAATAACAGCACAGTATGGTCTAAGTTAAAAGCAGCCTTTTAGACCATGTATTCAGCCCTTTGATCGGGCTCAGTTTAGGCTCTTGACACCAACTTCGTTTGGTTTTCTGTGGCTTAACCGTTTGCTGTTCCCATCGTTGTTCATAACAGTATTGTTTGTAGGTCACTTGCAGTTTTAAGCGCTAATTGAAGGATCGGATTTCTTCATGTGTAATTGTTTTGTGGCATACAGCTTTCTTTAAAACTTCTCTTTTTAATATAAAAAGGCTTTTAGGCATAACTATATGGAGAGATATATAAATAATATTAATTTCCCCATTTACTTCTCTAGCTGTTTTTGCAAGAATGAATGTGGATTAACATTGTTATCCTTTCCTAACAATTATCTTTCGCTACTCTAGCTAGTTTAGTTCTAAAAGACAGAGCCATTGACAAGGGAAAAAAGGGAACCTTCTCAGATTTTTCAGCTCAGCGGTGGTAATGTTGCACTGAGCACTAATGAGGGAACCCCCACTGATTTGCCTGCTTTGTGACTTTTCTATTTCATAATTATTTTTAAAACGCAAAACGACATGAGGTAGCCTAGTCATGTCTCTACAACTTCCTGGTAGCTCAGTTCTTACTGCAGATGGCAATTTGTTCTTGTAACATATATGTCTCTCTGACCATTTTCATCTAATTTGTATGGGTTCTACCATTTCCTTTCTCTCTTTCAGGGACCTTGCTGTGTGTGAGCTGGGGGGTGGCATGACATGCTTGGCTGGGCTCATGGTAGGTCTTTTCTCAATTCCAATCCCATTCAGAGGAAGAAACAAAAGGAAAAATGTTCCAGTGCCTCCAACTGCTGGGTCAGAGAACTGTCAACAGCCTCAGCTGCGGTCAAGCTGCAGAGTCTTGAGAGACCTTCTAGATTGACTTGCTTTCGTATCATATTGATTTTATGGTTGCCTCGATGAGCAGAAACATTTTACCTCGGTGTAGTCAATATCTTTTGTTGTGACATTCCAGGCCACGTACGGTCTGTCTTTCATTGCCATAGCCGAAGCTTTTTTTTTTTTCAGATTATAGTCCCATTTGCTAAGATACAGGAATAGCCTGGCGAATCACAGTTGGAGCACCATGATATAGCTGCTAATGTTTTGCCTGCATTATTACACCAACAAACATGATCCAGAGCTCTCGGTAATTAGATTCTTTTGAATTAGATTGGCCATTCAGGAGAGTCGTTCACCATTCTCTGGGTTCTGAGTCATGTATTCAGGAGATATTATGTAGCAGTGCAGTGCATTAGACAAGTTTTTATGTCTCTACAAATAAAAGCATATTGTTACACTGATTGGCATTTGACAAACCTGTCGCTCTTATACAATGTGTCGAGGTTACAGCCCAATGTGCGAGCATGTCAAAGCTCACAAAAAAATTACCCTTACAAAGCCATCTGCCTGCAATGCAAAGTTATATGAAGGGCATCAGGCAGTCAGACAGAAGCAAGCTGAAAGGCAGAGTGACAGCCTTGTATGATGGCTCTACTAGATAAACAGAAGCCCGCAAATGAAAGCCTCTCAGAATACCATCATCGGCTGTCACAATGCAATTACGGAACAGAATGATAGCAAGATAGAGGCTCCCGCAAATGGAATGATAAAAGTATTGACTGATTTGATTGAATGATTAAAATAATGCAGACATAAAATGAAAAAAGATTGAAGATTGTTACAGAGAAATAGGTGAGGAAGCATGATACTGAAGGCTTGTCACTCCTGTCTTCACTTCCACACAGACAAGCATATTTGCTCATTGTTTGCTGTGCTCTTTTTTTCAGGTTGCTATTTCTGCAGATGTCAAAGAAGTTCTGTTAACTGATGGAAATGAAAAGGCCATCAAAAGTATCCTTATTCAGATAGAAAACTGGTTTGTTGTGCTCGTTCCTTTTTACTGGCTGAGTAACAATCGATATAAAGACAGACAGCATGGGGTATATTAAGAAAAGTCCCCCATAAGTAATTAAAAAATAGATGTAGAATATCTTGAACAGAGCTACAGCTTCCCCCATAATAAATGCCACATTTTCGCCTTTAATTAAAAATGCAGGTGTTGGTATAGAGCAAGTACAGTAGTAAATATGTGTCTCGTGGTTGAGTGCTGAAAGACTCGTGTGTATGCTGCATGTTACAGGAGGTATAGTAGTGAATCAAATCATTAGCTCCCCTTCATGTATCCTTTTTGCAGAGGAGCTAGATTTTTTTCTGCTTTTAAATACTAGCCTGTTAAAACATACCCAACATTTGTATATTGTCATAGTTTTCCCAGTGTATATTGAAATGTTTCATTGTTGCTAAGTTAAAACTGCCTACAAATTACCCATTTAGTTTGCTTAATCAATTATCAATTTATCTTTATTTCTCTTGATGTAAGATTTCAAAACTCCTCTGTCCCTTGTAGAAAGTATTTTATTGTATTTTTTTATAATAGATTAAATTGCTATCATGCCCTTCTAATATGAACATACAGTTCAGAAAATTGAACTGGACTTGGGCTAAGAGATAGAATGAGTGAGCATAATTTGTGGCCACATTAAATATCAGCACAGAACAAGAACAGATATATACAGTGAATACTAATAACCCTTAGAAATTGAGAGGGAAAAAAGGAAGATATCTATTTGCTTTTGTTCCTTGATAATCTTTCCATTTACATTTTTAAGGCAGGCTAATTTTTCAGGTTTTGGCCACTGCAGCTTCAGAATTATTTAGATTTGAGTTTTGTATGTATTTGAGAGCTAACATAATGAGTACTTAATGAAAAAAAAAGTTAAACTAATCCATGGCTTAAATAAATTGCAGTTGCTGATGCCTGTTAAAACAGGAGACATTTGCAGTGCAATAATATTAGCTACTACCTTTTAAAAACACATTCTCAGAGGTAACTGAGTTAACTATAATTGCTTACAACACTTGAACAATTTCATGTTATAAACAGCCAATCCCAGATCATATCTGTTAAAACTTGAAGTAAGCCTGCTAAAAGTCTCCTTTTCTTGAAAAGGCAAGTTCTCAGCTGTGTTTCAGGGATCCTTACTTTGTTGAATTCTAACTTGTTAGACTTGTGTCTTAAGGAGGAAGTATTCATTATTCTGTGTATTTTAATCAGCACCACCCTTTCCAGTCTTTCTTCCATGTCATTATGAAGATAAAAAATGTGGCAGCAAAGAATTGTTTCAAAACTAGCCTAACAAAACAAACTAGTGTTGCATAGAAGCATAGGTGTTTAACAAAAGGTCATTTTATTCACAGAAAGCTTCAGGTGGACTCAGTAATCATCAAGTCAGCAAATATCTTGCATAGCAGATTCCATAAAAATACCTGAACTTTTTTGAAATGTAGAAGTCTCTTATAGTAAGGAGAATTGGCAAGTGCCAAAAGTATTCACTCAGTCTTTGGAATTAAATAAAAATGCTTTTATTCACGAAAAAGATATTGTTAAAGTAATCTAATTATCACACCTTAGTTTTTGACAACATGTTTTAGAAATATCTTCTGTTTCCAAAAGTCCTACAAGAAGTCTTCATCTGTATTCACTCAGTGAATCCCTAACAGGGAAGCCTATGGTGTTCGGCTCTAACAGGAATTTATTTTTCTTTTTTAACATTTGGTGCTGAGAAGGCTCAGCATTCAAAGTGCTTGTATTGTGTTGGATTTTACAATGGGCTTAATATTAGCAGGGTGCCAAAGTGCAGCAGGCTAGGAACTTTACCATGTATGTGGAATGTATTCTTAAAAGTGCACGTAATAAAATCTATGTTGCATTTTATGTGGTTTATGGATTTCAGTAGTAATTTTATGATCTGTCTTATGGTAATTTTCTTTTGCACTCTTTTGTATAGTGACTAGCTGTAACAGAAGTTTAGACTAAATTTAGATCTGTTTCAGCCACACCAGACTCACTGAAATCGGTAAGAATTTTAGGTGTAATTGGAAATAGCATTTGTGCCCAAGTGCCACTGACTACAAATGACCTATTTCTGCTAATTTTTATTATTGCTGATGGTACTTTTTAATTGTTTAGCATACCCAATTAAGGTAATGTGGGGTAAAATACTGTTTTCTTTCCTAGATTCTGCTCTTCAAGAATAGTTAATGCCTAGTATTATGCTTTTTATGTAGGTATTATAGATTAAAATAATCTTGTTTTAAAATTACTGTTTATATCTTCCCTTTAAATTTCTTAGGAAGCTTAAATTACATGCCAGTCATACTATAATATTCAAAAATTACTTTCCAAAAAGTAAAACTGGTTGTCAACAAAAAAAGAAAAAAAATCCCTGTCAGAAGCCAGGAAATCACCAAGCAAGCCTGCTAATTATTCTTAATGGGCAAGATGAGCACATTAAGAAACAAATGAATACATCAGTGAAATGTAATTGAAAATCGACCTGGCAATAGTGCATTGCATCTGAGAATCTGCCTTTGTATTATCAACATCATCACAATTATTGTTGTTTTTGTTATTGCTATCGCTATTCAGTGAGCATAACTAACAGCTTTGCTTTGCAAAATCTCAAGCTTTTTAGTATTTGATTTTTCTTTTAATTTTTGACATGCTTCCTATTGATCTCCATTTCGTACTGCCACGTGAAGTATTCACTATGTATGTTTTCAATATCTGTATTAGAATATGTTATTGAAATGTTAGAAGTTAAAACAATTTACAAATTAGTGAATTTCAAATAATTGTTGTCATTTTCACCCTCTCACTGTGAAATATATTGCTATATTTTATGTTGATCCATGATCTTATGTATTATGTTTATGGAGGTTTTTAAAAAGATATTATGATTTGAGTTGCTAATCCCTTTAAAAGACTTCACTCTAACTCACTGGTTTTCCTTATCATGAGGAGGTTTTAATTGATCAAATAGATCATTTATATAGCAAAATCAATAAAATAAAGACAGATGTTACTCGTTTTGCAGCCTTGTTCCAAACTTTATTGTTTGTTTAGTGTGTTTTATCCAAGTTCTTTCAGGATGATTTAAATAAGGAAAATATTGAAAATAAAAGATAGACTTATCAAGTGAACAATAGAGCAAAGTTATCAGATTTATCCCCATTTGTAATTTTGGGTGATACGCGTTCAGATACAAATTTCAACTGAGGTAATATCTGTGACATAAGTCAGTCATCAACATCAAATTCTATTTCCTCAGAACACTGGAAGTGTCTTTATTCAGTTTGACATGTCCAGATCCAAGGATGAGGTTCATTTTAGTAAAAATTCTCTCCTATTTCAGAGAGGCTGTGTACCTTCTGCCTTAGCTCTGTTTCACACCATGCACTAGTGACTTGAACTACTGTCTGAAAGCATCAATAATACAAAACATTGTTGCAGTGCACTATAATGGCCATTAAAATAAAGTGTATGGATCTTTCAACAGTCCTGGGAAATTTAGGTTAGAAGGGTCATGTTCAGCCTGAATGCCTGAAGACATGGGCTCATAAATTATTTAAAAAAGCCAGTGTTACCATGTTTAAAACCATTATTAAGAGTTTTGCTCAGTTATATAATTTAAGTGCAGTGTATTAATTTATCAACAGTGTTATTTCTACATCTACTTAAAAACAGCATGCTTTACTCATGGAGTTACTTATGCCTTCCTATTGCTTCACAGGTATAGACCATTCATTTACTACTTCTCATTACATATTGCGGAAAAGATTTAAAAGGCACATCCAAACTACAGAGATTTGTTTAAACCAGTTTTCTGTCATTTGATTTCTAGGTTTTTTTTGCTTCAGAAAATAGTTGTCTTTTCCATTGTTTGGATAGAAGCTTTCCTAAAATAACTTTTCTTAAATTACCAACTCTGTTAGGAAGGCCAATTATGTGATTTCAGCAAAGCAAATAAAAAAATATATCAATGATATTTCAAATTAGCCTGACACTAGTGTTCAGTTTTCTTATTAGAGCACTTTCAAAAAATTTGACATGTTTTGTGGACCTAGAAACACCTTCCTAATTAGTGTCAGATTTCCTGTACCTTAAATAAAGAAGAGGGATCACTGGCAACCTTACCAAAAGTGTCTAAGATAATTTTTTATATTTGAGACTGAATCATTCAAATACATATGGATTCACCTTGAGTGGCAATTAGTGTTCTCATAGTCTTCACTTACTTGATATACCTTTCCTTCCAATAGCTTCTCACTAACCACAAATGATTGATTATGGAGGTTATCCTTCTAACAACAGATGGTTGGGCTCAGCTTCCCTTGAAACTTTTCTTTGATAGCCTTTGCTTTCACCTACCTGAATGGCTCCCCAAATTTGTGACCTGATCTTGTAAACTACAAGAAGCTGAGACGTGAGGCTGAGGCAGTGTTGTGGCACCTAAGGGGAAGAAAAGGCATTTATTGCTTTGTACTCTTTTCTGGTGGTTCCAAAACATTCTCAAGAAAGCAAATGGACTAGAAACTCCCTTGCCTATAGGTTAAAGTGATCCTGTTGTGTGTTGGAGTCACCCAGACAGAGCCAGGAACAAAGATGTGTGTCTTGTGGCAGGGCAGGTACTCAAAACCCATAAGCCTCCAAAATCTCAGCACTGGGATATAGTGATACAGTCAAAAGCAGGACAAACTAAACTGGACATTTAGTAACCATGCTAAAAAAAATCAGTTAACATGGTTTTAATTCTTATATTTGTAAATAGTTGCCTTTAAATATATGTAAGGTATGGAAAGTCTTTTTTCAGTTCTCTCTATAGCTACAGGGCTAGAAATTCCTTAAATGAAACAGTAAATAGAGGTAGGCAATGGAGAGCAAATTGTTGCATAGATATATGACTGGTGTGCTGGAGAAGTTAGCACAGATTAAAGAAGACTAAACAGATGAGAGACATTATTCAGGTATTATCAGTGGAAAAGAATGGGGTTTATTATTTTTATTATTGCTCTAGTTTTATAGGTAATTCTTAACAATTATACTGCAGATGTAAATGAGATCATCACAAGAAACCAAAATGCTGGAGTATTTAAGGCTCGGAAAGTGTCAAGCCGGTAAGATTCTACTAAAATTTCTTCTGAAGATTCTGTTAAACTCTTTTACTGATTCTTGCATATAATTCTGTATTTAATGTAGATGTGAAATGTATGCAAAAGTGTGAAAGTGTGACCTATGTTACTGATGCTTACACAGATGTATATATAGTATAAGTAGGTAAGTGGTGCAAGACAGAAATTTAGAAGTATTAAAAAAAATTTAATTGCTTTTTAACGTAGGAAATACAGCATGATTATCTTGGTGACATAATCTCTCTTTATCTTCTTTTAATGTAGACTATGTCTCTTCAACCCCTGGTTCAGTGCATGGGTGAAATATATCTTCTTCAGAGTCACCACTACCCATTGTACTGAATGTCAGGCTTGGAGTGAATTTACCTAAATCACCAGCAGGTTTCATTTTATATAGCTCTGAGAATTCAGGGTTGCAACAAATCCCATTTGCCCTCAGTTAGATGTTGTTGGAGCATCCATGGGAAGTTTTTTGGTCATCCTGTCTATGCAATCTATATTGTTTTGTCACTGCAAGGACAGATAAGGGAGCATGGGAACCAGGCACAATGTGCTGGGGCCCTTCTCTTATTGACTATGACTTAAGGTACAGGCTGCACCCAGCATTTTTTTCATAGTGCACCTGCTGTTTTATCTCTGAGTTAGCCCTGGTGGTGAGCATTGTAGAGGTGTAAAGACTTTGGTTTAAGATTGTCTCCAGAGCCTTTCGTACTCATCCTGTGGTGGCACTGAACTGTTTAACTGTCTGCTTCACTGGCGTATCTCCAGGTACAGTAGGGACTGGAAGTAGCTGAAAAATTGAAGTGTGTTCATTTCTTGCAGTATTTTAAAAGTAAAATGTAAAGTACTTCATATTCCTGGCATAGAGTTAAGAATTAGAAGATGGCTACCTAAGAGTAAATAGTGCACTCTTATTTGTGTGTCTAAATATTTATTTTTTTTTGATGGCTCACATTCCAGAACGGCTCTCAGTTCTTCTAAAAGTGACAAAAGTAAAGCTGAAAAAGGGCTGAGAAGAGCAAACTGTTAATGCAGAATAAGCTTACTAACATAGAGGGTTAAACCTATACAGTTTTAATGGCTATCATTCACGTCATTTAACCGTATGCTTATGGAGCCAATCTGTGTAGAGAAGTTCTTTTAAGTGAGCACTTATGCTAGAAAAATTCTGCCTTCATTAGGGTGTATGGACATATAACTTAGAGATACATCTCTACATCCTAATAAGAGCCTGCCAAGTAGACAAAGGCCACACAGGCCCCAGGTCTTTCAGGTTCCATGTGTTGAACACCTTTTGTGAGCAGAACTCCTCAGACACTGCTGAGGAGAGGCTGTGTGGTACGTCCATCCAGAAGCTTAGATTTTGTAGATTTCCACTTAGTATGAGATTTCAGATTTCATCCCTTGTCAAGACTTCAAACCTGGTCTTTTAGATATCAATCAAAAGCACATTTTCTACACTGTCCTCATTTACATTTATCTAATGCTTAAGGTCATTTGTGATCATTTGAGTGTATTTCAGCATATGGAATCAGTGAATAATAGATTTCAGCCTCACGCTGTGAAGAAAGATTGTGTTTTTACAAGACATGATGTTGTTTACTGGGTGTTAATAATCACTAATTAATAAACATATCTAGGCATCATAAAATGTTGCATTTTAAGGAGTAAAAATATAAAGTGTTTACCTTCTTGAGTGCAGTAGCATTTGGGGCCTTATTTGCATAAATAAAATAATTAAATTACAAAATAATGTGAAGTACTATATGAAAACAAGGCTCGTTATAATAAATGCTTGATTTGGTTTTTAATTCCACATTCTTGAGGCTTTTTTAGTTTTGTTATAACAGTATAAAGTTTTATAAAATGAGTATTCAAATGACTGTCTAATGGATTGATCAGTCCTTCAGATTTAGTAATGATGTGTGATGAAGACAGTAACAAAGTTATATGATCCCTTCTCAATGCCTTGAAGAAACTAAAAAGCTGATATAAAGTCTGAAATATTACTGTAACCTTGATTCACTTTTCCTACAACTGAAAACCTTAGTTACATAATGGTTATGGGGAGAAAAAAAGGAGGAAAAAAAACCCAAAACAAAACAAAACCAAAAACGAACAAAAAAAAAAAAAAGAAGAAGAAAAAGAAGAAAATGTAGTATTTTGTAAGGAAGAATTCAACACTGGTGTGTGAAGTGTCATTCAGTGACTTCTTTTACATTGATCAGATCTTGCAGGGAAGTGAATGAAGTAATGCAAGTGACTTACTGCAACATCAATTTAATCTGGAGAGAGCATGTTCTTTGCTATAATGTGTCATTTGAACAGTGTCCAGTCTTGCAACTTTGCAGTGTCCAGTGCAAAGTTAAAAGATTTTTTCCGTATAAAGGTAATTCAGAATAGAACCTTCTCAATGTGTCTTCTTCTTATGTCAGGATTTTGTACTCTTTTCCTTGCACATGGAGTAGAAATTATCAGTCTGAGAGTCAGCTTGTGAGTGTTCCAGACATTTTAGTCTATACTTGGAAAATATTCCAAAATGTGTATGGTGCAAAAAGGAACAATCCAGTATCAGCCAAGAGAAGTTAGATTTGGACAACCTGCCATACATTTGTTTATTTAGATTTATACAAAATGCAGTAAATGAGCACTTATCTAGCTCTCTACTAGATTATTGTTTAAAAATACAGTAATATAAACCAAACTTATATTTGGCAGTTTGTCATATTATGTGTTATAATGTAATAATAGATACATAGTAAACAGTGGATATACAATTCTATTTTATTTTTACATAAGAGTGTAAGCAAGTACATGTAGCATCAAGTCAGTAAGAGAAATGCTTGTGGCAATGCATCCTTTGATTTGACTTGTAATAGTGTATGACATACTCTTTATTCATTCTATAGTCAACTTTATAATCCACATCAAGAATGAATGACCATGTGAACAGAAGGGACAATTCCTTCTCCTCAAAGATTAACAGATAGGTAATAATATTCTCCAAAATTTTAGTGTTCCTTACAAATGTAATGAATTTACAAGCTTCCAGAACTAAACCTATACAGAAAAAAAGTCTTTTGAAATACTAAATGACGTCCAGTATAATAGTGGATGAGGTTTCAATGACAGAGCATGGAATTTGTCTGATTCTGCTCTTACATTAATGGCCTCTTTCTCTGTCTCTGCTAACATGTGAATATTTTATCTACTGCAATGTTCTTCAAATATACCAAGTTTCTAAGCTTCCAGGTTCCAACGGGTCATGTAACAGGTTCCATCAACATGGGACAGCCTTAATGAAGTCTTGTTTCTTTGTTTTCGTGCATCAAAATGACCTGGGTGTTGCTAAATTCAAACTTTTAAAAAACATATTTATTGAATTTGTTGTGTTTGTCACCTTAGCAACCCTAAAGAAATCCATTTTGTTCCAACTACTTTTCTCCTCATGTAACACTCTTCCATGACAGCATCTATTGGTAAGGAAGAAACTGCCAAAAGGAACATTTCCTGCTCTTTGGTTGGAAAGAAAAAGCTCCTGGTTCCTGCTCACTTAATTTGATCATTTCATATATGTGTGGAAAGATATAATGAACAGGCTATCTGCTCATGTCCATTGTGAAGTTGTAGCTCTTTATCACTCAGCTCAGGTGGAAACCATTCCGTACCTCTGATCATACTTGCCCTGCTCTATATCTTTTTCAGTTTCCATCTACTCATTTTCAGATGACTGTGATCAGTATTGCATTCAAATTGTGCATAAATAGATATATGTAGTGGAATAATTATGCTTTTTGTTCCCCTTTTAAAAATGCCTAACAGTGATTTGCTTTTTTCAGTGCAGTTGAGCACAGCGCTAATAGTTTCATGACACTGTCTGTCACAACATCAGGAGCTTTCCAGTGATGGTCAGTTTGGAGACTTTCATTTTCTATATCAAGTGAGAATTATCTTTTCCGTTGTGCACTTTGCATTTATCCACACTGAATTTCATCTGTCATTTTATTGTCCAATTACTCAGTTTCATCCTTCTGCAATCCTTCACAGTCTGCTCTTTTCCTCACTGTCTTGAATGGCTTCTTAACATCAGCAAACTTTGCCACCTCAGTGCTCATCTCTTGTAAACATGTTGAATAGAACAGGTCCCAGGGGAACTCTGCTGATTATCTCCCTCCACTGTGAGAATTGACCATTTGCAACTACCCTGTTCCCTGTCTTTTGTTCTATTATTTAGCCATGTCAGGACTCTTGTCCAGTGACAGTCTATTTTCCTAAAATGTTGTTAGTGAGGGTCCTTGCCAATAGCTTTTTGGAATCAGAAGCAGTCTGTGTTACCCAGATCACCCTTATCTGAATACTTGTTGACATCTTTGAAGAGCTCAAGGGTTATAAAGCAGGACTTCTTTTACCAAAGACCTATAAAAAAAACCTGTGTGGTGAAATGTCTTCAGTTTCTTCTACAGTGAAGTAAATTTTTTGCACTGATGCAAAGAATTAATTTAACCTCTCTGAAATGTTGTTATCCTCTGAGAGTGCTCATTCTTTATCTCAATTATCAGCTCACAGGAAGATTTAGCAAAACAAAACCAAAAGGAAGAGCACACTCATTTTTTACCTGCCTAATTTTATTATTATATTTGATTTTCCAAGTCTACGATTCTTTCTTAAATTGGGTACAACTTCGGCTTTTGGAGAAATGACATCTTGTTTCTAACCTTTTTTACTGTTTAGCCATATCAGCTGACTTTCACAAACTTCCAGGCCTCTCCTATTCATGTATTTTACCCAGTTGTGGTGACTTAATAAAGGATATTTTAAATTGCATTGTAGCTTTGTCTGTCTTCTTTATGGGGCCAGATAAGAATACATAAAGAGAAAAAACCAAAAAGTTAGCAAGCTTTGTAAAGAAATTCCTATGTGTTTGGAAAAACAGGGAGAAAAGCTAGGTGTTAGCTGAAAGTATAACATATTATTTTAAATAATTC